AGATGTCATGTGCTTAGCAACTATGAGGAAATGAATTCTGCTAACAACTTGAGGCGGCTTGAAAACAGACCCTTCCCCAATTGAGTCTCTAAATAACAACCCAGTCCTGGCATACTTTTATTGCAGTCTCACAGAGGACCCAAGCTAAAATGAACCCAGACTCCTTACCCATAAAAACTGAGATAATAGATATGTTTTGTTTTGGACAGCAAAATGTATAGTAATTTGTTAATAAGGAGAATAGAAAACTTATAAAATCAGAACCTATGGTATTTCTGAACCCTTTACTGTTTACACAAAAGACATGTCTTCCCCAATTTCTAAACACTTAAACAAGGGTAGAACAAACTTAACTCATTAGTTAATACCAGTCAAATACACGCACAATTAAAACATTTAAGAAGTACTTTGCTACATAAAACTGTTCCTATACTTCTTTTTTAACCCATTTGCTAATATACTCAATCATACATATACCCAGCATATGCAGTAAGTATAATGTTAAGGGAATTCTCCTTATAAACCCAGAATAATCAATATTTTAAAAGCTCGTACCTAATTAACAGTACTGGTAACCAAAAACAAATAAGAACCCACTTACTGGTTTACCAGGCTAAGCAATCAAATTGGAGGGGGCTGGGGACTTGCTGGAGGCACTATCCTTAGTACAAGGACTGGCTTTTCAACTAGCAAAGCATCAGAAGTACTCAGGTCAGGCACCTTTCATATCAGATGATGCCCAGTGCAACACAAACCACTCCTTCCTCCAGCCCACCTTCTACCCTGCAGACAAGAGAACTTTCAGGGGAAAAAAACTGTAAAATAAAGCTGGAGGTGGAAGAAGGGGGGAAAAGAGAATTTTCAAAATATTCCCAAAGCAGAAACTTCCAGGACAGAGCCCACACTTTAGCATAACAAAGCATACAACACCAGGTATCTCCTATAGTGTTTAAAGATATGTGGGATTACAAGTGAGAAACATTAACCGCCAGAGTTGTTCTTTTGGGCAGTGACAAGGGTGGTAGCTAGAAGTGTAATTTTTCTTAGGAAGAAGCAGGTATTTCTCTTCTGCCACACTGCATAAAGGTTTTCAAATGAATAAAAGAAAATTCAGAAACAGGAAGTAGATTAATCACAATAACCCAAATTCAAATATTTTGGCACTAGATACTGGTAAGAAGGGATGACTGAGAATGATTCAGTAACAATTAATGGAGATAATTCACTACCTTAAAAACCTGCATCTTTCTTGAAAATTAGGAGAAATAAATCTGTCTAGAAATACAGATTTCATTTAACATATTCCATTTTAAGAGATAACCCACACTCCTTCAACATAAGGAATGTGTTTCCTAAGTAACACAAGGCGCCTGAATTGGAGTCAGACTACTGAAACCCTCAAGGACACAACAGACCCAAACAAACTCAAGCCAATTAGGAGAAGAACGAAAGCAACTGAGTACCACCAGTTAACTGTCTAGATTAACTCATTTTACATTTTCACTTCTAGACTCATGGACAGGTTATAAGGGAAGCCCACACTATATTTCCAGAAATAATCTCCATTCACTGGTATATTTTATAGTCCTTTTTCAAATACCTTCCCTATCCTTGCTGGATCACTAAAGACTATTCTACCACCCATAATAACTGATTTTATGAACATTAGCAACTTGGTAGTGGAAAAAATGTACACATAAAATAAAGCCAAAAAAAATCCTAAAATACCACCAAGGCTTTTAAATATCAGCCTATATATATCACTAAAGGTCTGTTTTAAAACAAAGGTGATAGACAAGAGAAGGCTTCTGTTCACTTTAATAGTATTAGACTCAGCAGTCCAAAAGAAGTAAAAAAAAGAAGAAAAACCATTCAGTTCTAGGAAATTTCTGTAAACTAAAATATTCTGGATTAAGCACCTCTCTTCTGGTTCTCTCCAGAGAGAACTGAATAAGAATGTACTCAGCTAAAATACATACTCAAAACATAAAACTGACACAGAAAACCTCATTCAATTTGGTAATTCATTATGATGAAACTACTAACAATTCAATTTGCTAGACTACTATTTAAAAAAAAGAAAGAAGTGGTATATTGTTTAGGTTTTTTATAAATTACATGACAGCCCAAAAGAGAATGACAATTTTGCATCTTATTAGTACCATATTTTCTTATTACAAAATAGTAACAAATATCAAAGTTTTACAAAATTACAGCAAAACTTCCCACTAATTCAAAAATAATTCCTTTTCTCAATTTTCAGAGGGAATTACTTCATATATGCCCAAACATTTATACAGTTTGTAACTGAAGACATTAATACTATAATACAAAGAAATTAAATCAATGCAAAGTATAATCAAGTGTAATTTTTTACAGTAAGATTCATCATCTGAAAATAAATATAAAGTAAGATTCATCGTCTGGCTTCCTAAATCTCAGGATGAGGAGAAATATGCTTCTATTAAGTTCCCCTGATAAACCTACCCACTGAAACAGAAGTAAAAATCTCAGTAAAGCAAATGCCAGTAGAAAAATGTGTTTTTACGTTAAGTGTACTCCATCTCCCTGTGTCAACTAGGATTTAAGGTACTGGCGTATTGATTTGTTCCTATCATATAATGGGAACAAGTAATTTCTCTGATCCCCTTTCCCGCTCTCTCCAGTTTTTTATCTGAACTACCAAACACAGACTATTTGACTGTTTTCTCAAATTTCAGAAAAATGATACATAACTAGAATCATTCTAAGAGCAAAGGAGAAAAAAGTTAATCAGTTGGCCTACAATAGCTGCCTTAGGACATTAGGGCTCTATTCTCTGCAGAGACCTGGTTAAGAAAGGCTGCCCCAAGTTCCACAGTATCACTGTGCTATTAGGCCCCAATCATCCTAACCCTGAAAGTACAAAAAGAACTAAGCGCACAGAACTAGGAACTTAAGTAAAAAAAAAGATAAATTTGCTTTGCTTCTATTTTATGAACCAGGTCTTTGTCATTTGCTAATTTACTATGAATTAAAAACCTAAGTGTCAACTATTTGCCCCCTGCTCTGAATGGAAGGTATTTATTTTCAGAAAATAAACCCATACAGATATACTAACTCTTTGTTAAAGGAAATTATTAGCCCTTTAAGTAATTAGTATATTTGAAATAAGATACTAATTTGACAAGCTGCTTCTTACTCCTTTAGCGAACTTTTAAATATATCTTTTGACAACTGCTAAATGCAAATTTTCACTTTAAAAAGATATTTTTAAAAACCAGCTTATCCTTTATTCTTGCACTAATCTCCCATTCTCAAGAAAGTGTCTTTCATGGGGGCGCCTGGGTGGCTCAGTCGTTAAGCGTCTGCCTTCAGCTCAGGTCATGATCCCGGGGTCCTGGGATCGAGCCCCGTGTCTGGCTCCCTGCTCTGCGGGAAGCCTGCTTCTCCCTCTCCCACTCTCCCTGTTTGTGTTCCCTCTCTCACTGTCTCTTTCTCTGTCAAATAAATAAAATAATCTCAAAAAAAAAAAAAAAAACTGTCTTTCGTTATTCCTCAGTGTAGTGGCTACAGCTGTGTTAATTAAGATCAAACTAACCTTCCACTGTGTTAATTATGATCAAATCACAGTAAGGAAAGCACTATTTCTTTTTCTCAAAAATGAAAGTTTTTTTTTAGTGGCCCAATTTTAGTAAATACCAATATTGCTATTTCCGTAGCAAAATTATAACTAAAGTAGTTAAGAGTTGTTCTATACTGAATGTGCAAAGCAGCATTAAAAACATGAAAAAAACTAAACATGACATTCCCATTCTCAATATGCTAACATGAATATTGATAGTACAGAATATTAGAACAGATCAATTACATTACTGAACATTCCACTTCACCAACTCCAATTTCTCGCATATATAAACATGAAAAAAAAAGGGCCACAAAAATGGAGGGAATGGTTTCCTCAGTTTCAGCTGTGCTCACTTGTGCATTTATGTAATATCACAATGCAGTGACATGGGAATGTTTATCTTCTATAAGTCGGCCTCTCTAACCAGATTAAACTTCCAATTTCTTCTCATGGACTGTCAAGGAAGAGGTGTCTTGATTCGTTTAGGATATTAACCGTTTTGAGGTAAAGTAAATCACTACTGAACATAACTGAAGAGGCCAAATTCCGTTTCCTCAGATCAAGTGCACCCTTCCTGTTTCTACATAAAAGCACATCATATTGCTATTAAAAATTTCCACTTATCACAAGTGACTTTTCCTGAACTCGTAGTCAACACTGCTTTTCAAAAGCCCCTATGCTTTTACTGCGTCTTTTCGGCAGAGTTCCCATAAGAAACTGCTTTCAATTTTTAAAATGCCCTGTCCAAATTAAGAGGGGCTCACATCAATCATTCTTCTAAAGTAGCAGTTCACTGGGGTCAAAAATACATTTTCCGTCACACATTCAACCAATTAAACTGTATGCAGTAGGTGGGGCTGTTTACATAGACTTAAGGATTACAGTTTTATATTAACAGCCCCACCGAAATAACTCCCTCCTTTTTCAAATACTCATATGTTCCTTTGAGACCCTCGGACTCTTGGTCTTTAAAAAACGCTCACCACTTGAGTCCCCAGTTAGAACTACGTTTGGCCACCGGTCTCCTGACTTCCTGACACCAAAAGCCACAAGCACGAGGGCTGTTGCATCGGTTTGTTTCAGAAACAATCTTCGCTCCATTCACCCCAAGGGGAAAACAAGGGCTTCCTCTACTGGGCCCCCACTGTGAGGCGGGGGGTACCCCCGGCGTCTAAAAACCAAAGCCCAGGGAGAGGCGGGAGCGGCGCGGCCGGGGTTAAGTGGCGGCTTTCCTCCCCAGAGGGGCGAGCCGGCCGGGCCGCGCGGCAAAGCCGCGGCGCTCAGGCTGAAGGAGAAAAGGAGAAGGATAAACCCCAGCGCGGCCGTGGCGCACGTGCGGCTCGCGAGAGGCAGGGAACCGGGGCGCCGGGGAGCGGAGGGGAGGGAGCCGTACCTCCAAACATGTGCGGCGAGAGGTGCGCTGGTAAGGAGCCGATCACCAGGCGCGGCCCGCCGGAGCCCCCGCCCGCCGGCCGGTCTCTGCTGCCGCCGCCGTCCTCGGGGCTGCTGTGCACCGAGTCCTGCGAGCCGTACGGGCCGCTGCTGCTGTTGGGGATGCTGAAGGAGGACTGCGCCGCGCGGGCCGCCGACGCCACGCTCCCCACGGCCCCGCCGAGCGAGCGACTGCGCGGGGCCGCCGAGGCCGCCGCGGCGCCGCCGGAGGCGCTGGGCTGGTGCGCGCCGGGCACCTGAGCCGGAAACCTCCCCGCGGCCGCGGCCCGCGCCCCGGTGCCGCCGCCGCCGCCCGCGGTCCCATTGGTCCCTCCGCTGCTGCTGGAAGGTAGATCCGAGCCCGAGTAGGCGCGGGTGCGGCCGTTAGCAGCGGCCGGGCCGCTCTGCTTGGCGCCCATGGCCGCCCTGCCCCGGGCCGGGCCCGCGCGCGGCGCCCCGAGCGCCGGGAGGGCGGGAGCGAGCGCAGGAGCGAGCGGGCAGGGCCGAGGCGCCGCGGCCGGCGCAAGGAGAAGCCCGCACGTCCAGGGCCGCCGCTCGGCGCCCCTAAGGGCGGTCGGCGCCCGGCGCGCTCTTGTGTTGGGGGCGGCGGGCGAGACCGGCGGCCTGCGGGAGGTCGCGGGAAACGAGGAGAGGAGAGGAAGGAGGTCGGGCGGCGGCGGACGCCACTCGCCAGCTCCGGCGGGAGGGGCGGCTCAGGTGGTTGTGCGGCTGCCGCTGGTTTCGGTTCTAGTGCGCCGCGACGGGTCGCTGCCGCTCTCTGCCGTCGTCGCCGCTCTCTGCGCCCCGGGCCTCGGTACCGCCTCCTCCCGGGCGGCCGCAGCTACCGCCGCCATCCTCCGGCTCACACGGCGGCTCGTGGGTGAGTGGGAGGCACCCGCCCAGACTCCGCCGGGGCCACCTTCCCTCCTCCCCCAGCCACCCAGCTGTTATTAACGGAGAAAGTGGAAAAACGGGTGGCGCGTGAGGGGAGGATGGAGGAGGGGATGAAGGGAGGGAGGGGCGGCGCGCGCTTCCCGGCAACCGTCGCCCCACTCCCCCCTGCGAAGGAGGGGCGGGGGGGAGGTTCTGGGCCACGAAGGTGGGGGTGCCCAGTAGGGGAGGAGGTTCCCCGGCCCTCGCACCGGAAGGCCGAGGAGCAGCACCGCTCCAAAGTGCACCCGGCCTTGGGTGTTTGGGTCGCAGGCGGTTGGTTGCCCCACCCCCGCCCCCTCGCGCCGCCCGGCGGATTGGCTTCCGCCGGCCCGGCCCCGCCTCCCCCGGCCGCGGCCTTCCCGCCCCGGCCCCGCCTCGCCAAGGTACAGCGGTGTGGTAGGTGCCGCCACCCGTGGACTCGGTGATGGACAGGTCGTTGGCCACGCCCCCTCCTCCTGGACGCGCCCCCTCCTCCACCGCGGGGCCTAAGCGGATTGGAGGGACGGAGCCCCTCGGGGCGCCAACCAGAAGGCGGCCTCTCCTCTCGCACGTGGCCCTGGGACCCTGGATTAGACCGCGTCTCCAAACTTCACGTTTTCCCAGCTAGGGCTGGGAATGGCTGTGTCCTGAGCCTCCAGTTTGGGTGGGTGTTAACCTCCTCGCTGGTGTTACTCAGAGTGTGTCTTTTAAATAAAACAGAAGCTCAGCAATGTTGATGATAAAAGACTAAGAACCGCAAAAACATAAGAAATAACCAAGAAGGCAGAAGTCAACTCCATCTTAATTAGATTTACCCCATAAAACTGACCGCGGAGGAAGCGCAGTTGGAAGAACTAAAGATAATCCAGCCTGACCTTCAGTTGTAAGGCAAAAACCGTGGTGCAGAGAAAGCTGCGTCTGATTTAGAAGATCTGGGGTCTAGGTCAGGGATCAGAAGTAAACTACGTGTAGTGAGCAAACTTTACCTTTTTGGACTTTAGTTTCCTGATCTGGGATGTTTGTATTAAATCCCTAGGGCACTGACAGCTTTAAAATCCTGCAGTTTCTCTAGGGGCACCTGGCTGGCTCAGTCACTAGAGCCGGAGACTCGATCTCTTGGTTGGTGAGTTCAAGCCCCACTTAAATAAATAAACTTTAAAAATAATAACAAAAGCCTGTAATTTCTCTAAAGTGGAATTTAGCAAAATTCTCCTCAGTTCATTTCTAACTGTGATGTAGTATCTTGGTGGCAGAGCATGGTCTGGATATCCATTTTGAAAATTCCTGAAGTGTCCACTATGTGAAAATAATAGCAACTGGTATTTTTGTACGAACTGCAAAAATAAATACCTTATCTTTTTTCCACATTTGTAATGTCATTTATGTAAAGATTTTCATCATTCAAGTATGAAAATTAAGTTTTCAAACAAAAGTGAAGAATATATAAAGCATCTGAAGATGTGAATGTATGCATATATTTATCAATATATATGTATCAGTGTGTGCATATATATATATAGGGAAATGGAAAAATAAAGCTACTCAATGGAAATCTAAAATTATTTCATCCTGTGTACAGCTTACTGAAACCATTGGTTACTTGGTAAGCAGAGAAAAATTTGAAAGGCTAAAGTGGTAACCAGAATGACAAGTTCTAATTCAAGAAGGTATTCAGTGATTTGATCTGATTTAACTTTTATTGAATGAGGCCTTTGGTGTAAAACTCTGGTTCAGCAGGAATATAGAAAAGTAACACACTATGATTTAAAAAAGGAGTAAAGGACTTCTGCAAGTCTCTGAGGAGCTAACAACTGGTAAGTTAAAGGATTTCACATTCATCATTATATATGCATTTTAAAAGTTTAGGTGACTATAATATGGAGCAAATGCCATTCAGTAGTTAAAACTATTAAATGAAAAGATTTAATGATAAAACTGTATGACTCAGTCGTATTCAGATTTAATTATATTTTGCTTCATCACATCCAAACTTAGGTTTATTTTTAAATCATTTTTACTCAGATGGTAATTACACCTGAAAGCACTCAACATTTATTCCTAACTAGGAAAAAAAAAAATCCCCTGATAGCACCAGGTTTCTAACATTCACATCATCCACAACAGCTGGAATTTTACATATGTCTGAACAATTGTTTGATTTATGTCCCTTCCTCACAAGACTAAATTCCCTGAGAGCATGGAAGGCATGTGGGTTTTTTGCTCACCATCAGCAGTGCTTGGCACGCAGTAGCCTCTAGGTAAGTATTTGTTGAATAAATGAGTGGCTAGAAAGTCATTTACAGGCTGAATGTTGGACATAAGAGAATGGAAATTGAAGCGGATTATGAAGCTCATAAGTATGTTTTTTGTGTTCGTCATGCCAGGCAGAACATTAGTCAGGACAGGCTAAGCTACAGAGCAGAATTAAACCACTAAACTTGAGGATCATAATGCCCAGAAAGCACATTGTGAGCTCACCTGGTCTGCCCTCTCATCTCTCTTCAGACGGTTCCCCACCTGAGTGGCAATCTTGGGTTTCTCTTCAAGTGGTGGCTCAGGGACCCAGGCTCTTACGCAGTGGCTAAGCAGGCCCCCAGACTCCTCACAGAGCCCTTCTCTGAATCCTGTGTACCTGGCTGGCCAAAGAAAAAAGGCAGATATTGAAAGATGTTTCAGCCAAGCCTGGAAGGGTTTGCGTCCCTCCTACCCACTATCCATGCTGGCAGAAATCAGTCACATGTTCTAACCCAACTGCAAAGGGGTCAGGAAGTGCAGTCTTAGGTGTGTGCCCAGGAAAAAAGAAATAATTTTGTCAAGCACATAGCAGGCATGTCTTTGCCACACACACAAGAACAGTTGCCTGACTGGCAAATATCTAAGCTAAATATTAAATCTTAGTAAAACTTTATACAATAAAAGTTAAGTTAAATGAAAAATTTCTCATGATAGTTACTGTTATTAAGACATCAAAATGTAGTAAAGAAAAGCTAATTTTTTGTGTGCATGCAGATCAACTAAATCCTATCTACTTTAAATTGTGTTTCTAGAAATACCATCTAACAGAACTCTTAATTTAGTCATGTAGATCAGTGATTCTTGAAGAACAATCTCCAGATTAACAGTATCTGTGTTGCCGGGGAACTTGTCAGAAAGGCAGATTGTCAGACCCCCCACCCCAGGCCTACTGAATCAAAAAGTGCTTGAATAAGCACTCTAAAAGGTTCTGATGCACATTAATGTTTGAGAAACACTGATCTAGGGAATCACTGGTTAGTTTAAAAAAAATACCATGTTAAGATGTGATCATCATTTTGATTAAGTGCCCTCTCCATATGGATGTCCCCTGTGACCCCACTGCAACCACATCATCACTTACTTCAGTATTCCCACTACATGCTATATATTAATGCTTCCCTTCACAGCACTGATCATGCTGTTGATCTTGCTTGCTTGTCACTAAACAGTGTGGTCTGTGAGAGGCCTCATATCTATTCTATACCTCCCACACCTAACACAGTGCCTAGCACCTCTGATGGACAATAAATGATCTGTGAATATTCTTCAATACATGATTGTTTCTTGAAGGTCACACATGACCTTATACTTACCCTCCTTGACATCCCCTCTGTGGTATATGCCCCCACCTCCATTTCTCTCTGGGTAGGCCTTTTTGATTCTTTCCCCACGAGGATTCTGGAGTTAGAAAACCTTCGCTTGCTATGTTCTTTCCTTGGCCCTCTTCCTTCCCCCCTCACTCTTTCTCAAAACGGGAATCCACATTAAGCTGTCAGTGTGTTTTATCATCAAACAGTTCTGGCTTCATATCAAATTTGTCTCTTATTATACCCTACCAGTTCTTCAAAAATTAAAAGTGCTGCTTCACTTAGATCAGTACACTTGGGTGTACATACATATCTAGAACTGAAACAAGTTTTATGAGCTCATACCCATGCAACATGGGATGCACTCCATTTTCTTTTGTATTCCATTTCACTTTTGTAAAATGCTGGTCACTGCCTACAAAATTGATTTTACAACCCACCAATGGGTTGTAATCTGCAGTTTGACTAACGATGGTCTCAATCCGTGCTTTGCAAGCTTTAGTGCACTGAAGAATCACCTGGAGATCTTGTAAAAGCAGACGACCAGGCCCCACCCTCCATGATTCTCATTCCCTAGATCAGGGTTGGGCCTTGAACATTTGCGTTCTCACAAGCAGCCCAGCGACACTGGTACCACAAGACCTCAGACTGTACCTGGAGAAGCACTGGTCTACATGATGCTTTCCTCTGCATAATCAGAACTATTCTTTTTCATCTCCTCATGACTCTTAAGTAACAGAGCCCCAGCTCTTTAAAATTCCTAATCTTTTAAGCTTTTTCATATGCTCTATTTTTCTTCTTCCTCCCATGATTAAATGGTGATAGTTTGACCCATGACTTTTGGGGTTTGAAATTAGCTTGAATTATTAAAGCACTGCACGTGGACAACATGGGTGGCCGGAAACCCACACTGGAGCAGAGAAGCTGGTTGTAGGCTTGTCAGTAAAAATACCTGACTGATGGGGCACCTAGCAGAGCATGTGGTATAGAGATTACTTAGAAAAATAAAAATCTTAAAAAAAAAAAAAAGACAAAAAAAACTTGACTGATGGGTTTGCTGTTACCCAGTTTGGATTTCAGTTGAAGTGAGTCTCTTCTCTTTGGCACTTACTCTTTTGTGTGCTTCTCTTCCCTCTCTAGCCCACTCTTTTATTTTAATTGATTAATTTTAATTAATTAAAACTTCTTTAAAATTTTAATTCCCATATAGTTAACATACAGTGTTGTGTTAGTTTCAGGTGTACAACATAGTGATTCCATAATTCCGTATATTACTCAGTGCTCATCAGGACAAGTGCCCTCCTTAATCCCCATCACCTATTTCACCCATCCCCTGCCCACCTCCCCTCCGGTGACCATCGGCTTGTTCTCTATAGTTAAGAGTCTGTTTCCTGGCTCATCTCTCTCTCTCTCTCTTTGACTCTCTCTCTCTCTCTCTTTTTTTTCCTTTGCTCATTTGTTTTGCTGCTTAAATTCCCACATATGAATGAAATCATATGGTATTTGTCTTTCTCTGACTTTTTTCACTTAGCGTTATACTCTCTAGCTCCATCCAGGTTGCTGCAAATGTCTTGTCCACTCTTTTACTTTTTTAGTAAGTAAATTATACACCCAAGGTGGGGCTTGAAACTCACAACCCCAAAATCAAGAGTTGCATGCTCCACCAACTGAGCCAGCCAGGTGCCCCTGTCTTTTT